TGCTTCTTCTCCCTTTCCAAATTATATCTAGGTTTTGATTTTGCCTTTCTTTTTTTAAATTAATTTTTAAAATTTATATATGACAGTGAAATGCATTAGAATTCACATTACACATATAGAGCATAATTTTTCATATCTCTGGTTGTAAAGTTAACCTACAAGGGGCCATAATCTAAGTCAGGGTTAAAAAAAACTTTCTCTGTAAAGGGTCACAGACTAAACTTTCCATCCTTGCAGGCCACACGGCTCTCTGATAACTGCTCAGTTCCACCACTGTAACACAAATCTTCCAGACAGCACCTAAACAAGTAAAAGTGGTTAAAAATAATCATATGCTTAGAGAAATCTTAACAAGACTCAAAGATCTTCAGCATCATATTAAATATTTTAACATGTGCATGGGAATACAAATAGTAGAATAATAATGGGAAATACAATATATTCAAGATTTTAGAAAATTCAGTACTGAAAAATGTGAATTTATTTACAATTATGTTTACAGTAAGATTTAGAGGGGCAGATTTGGTCTTTGATCTACAGTTTACCAATACTCTCTTGTGCTTGACTATTTACCTAACAGCTGTCATTTTAACCCCTGAAGGATTAGCAGCAACATTTGGCTCATGTCTCTGGAACTCCAAGACCCTTCTATAGTACATGAACTTGACTGTTTTTATTCTGTTCTTAGCCATGTTATAGCTTCTCTAAGATTTATCTTCAGTGAGATATTAAACTTTGCATATGTAGACCAACTCTCAGTGAAGGATAAAAAGGAATATCCCCTATCCTAACTTAGGGGAGTCTCATCTTTCTCTTTACTCTTCTCTGCTGCCCTGCCCCATGTGTTACAGCCATTTAATCTGCCCAGATACTTATCTCTATCTCTACAGCACAGTGATCCCTGCTTGGGTCACTCCTCTGTGTACTTTGGTTAACAAATTGACCTCAGGCAGTAAACTAGTGTAGTTATTACATTCCTCATATTTTAGGGTTCCTTGCCTGGCACACATGATTCACAGTGGTTGGTGGAAAGAAGAATAGTCTATCACTGGTTACTCTGTTATGTATAGGAGGAGATGATTTGAATCTTTTATTTTTAAATAAAAGAAAATATAATTACCTAATTAGAAATTAATTAACATAAGGAAATTTGGCTTACATATATTCACTAAAAACATAAGACCCTTGATTACAGATATGGTCTGATTATGAAGTCACTGAAGCCTGTTATATATTTACCTTTTATTTTCTTTGTTCTGTTTTCTTTGTTATCTGTTGCTATCTTTGTTTCTTGACTATTGTAGCCTCATGTTGCTTTTTGTTATTCTAGCAATTGTGCATATTTGAGTTTAGACTTAAATGTTCTCATACTCTACTGGAAAAAGCAAGGAATATATTTCGTTTTCACTTAGACAAGATATTTTGCATTCCTATCACCAAGGGTACATATATTCTTGGAGTTGGTCTGAAGTTAATTAAGTGCTAAATCCAATCACATCCCCCATCTTTAGAAATGAGCACTGATATCTCACCTAAGACATGACTGATAAAGGATGTACATAAATTTGTCTCAAAGTCTAGGTGCTCTGTAGAGGAGAAAGGAATTCAATATCAAATACATAAAAAATTCTCCATGATATATTTTCTTTAAGTGGTCATAATAATCATATATATATATATATATATATATATATATATATATATATATATGATGACAATATAATTTAATTTTAAAAATTAACCTTGAAAATTGTATGTTTTCACTTATTTCTCCAAAACAAAATTTATTGAACTTTCTAAGTTTGTCACATTAAAATTTTCTTTCAATAGTACATATTACTAGATGTAATACCAAGCTATTTGTTTGTGATGTGGGATCTAAATTTAGTTCTTACACTTATATTAGTCATTCAGAGCCAAGTCTCCCAGTATTGCTCTCAAGATATTTATGTTGAAATGAGCAGGTACTACATTAAAAAGCCCAATGGCCAATGTTTATCTTTATACTACAGTTTTATTCTTTTATCAGTGTGTGATTAAGCAGAAAGGCATTATACACTTCAGTGGTTAGGAGTGCCAGCTATATAGAGATACATATTGCTTGATTTCAAATTACAAATCTATTTCCCTTCTGTGTAACATTGAACGAGATATTTCATTAATCTATCTTGGTTTTTCTCATTTGATGGGATAAAAATATAACTAGCTAACTGTTAAGATCCAATTATAAGGGAAAAAGCTGTAATCTCATAACTTAGATTTTAAGCTGTTTATCATTCTTTTGTATTTTGACCAATCTTGAATGCATAAGAGAATGGAGACACTATGCATGACCTGCAGGGCAATTCAATTTTACAAAATCTTTATGGAGCTTTCTGTGACTTGGTGGGAAAATACACACACACACACAAACACACACATTCACACACTCATAGTATTCTAGGTTTTAATTTTTAATTTAGGCTTAAAGTGAATCATGGACTTGGATTTTATTGATGTGGCCCATAAAAAAAATGATTTCCTGTATTGAATTATAATGTTTTGTTTGTCAATTTAAATAGCCATTTCTTGGAAAATCTCAGTATCTTTTGTGTCTCTGAGAAGCTTACTATCTTTGAAAATTAAAAATTTTGAGCCAATAACATTCATTTTTACATGACTGACAGAATTTTTGGAACAAAATTTACAGCTCAGCCAAGAAAAACAGATAGAAGCTAATAGCATAATTATCAATGCCTTTTTCTGCTGTTGCTACTCCAACCTTGTCTTCAAACCCCAGTCATGAGACATTTGAGCACATTTCCCATAGACCTGGTGATACAGCCAATTATTGGTGATGAATTCTGTTCCCTCAAATATTGAAGTTTGAACATTAGAGAAGCACACTGAGGCAAGCATATAAAGTAAGGTTTATTTCAAAAGGGGTAAGATAGACTTCTTCAGATATTCTCATATCCCAAGAAGCGAGGTGTTCTGCCCTTTTTATATGTCCTAGGCCTCCTTTGTTCTCTTGCCCTTTTCCCCTTATCTTTATCCTTCAGTGATTATACCCAAGAATGCTCCTTGGGATGGCTAAAATGTGGCAAACAGGTGGGCTGAAGGGGGAAGAGGGGGATGGAGAAGCCAAGGACACATTAACAACCTTAAAACTTGCTGTAGGGAGGGGCAATTCCTGGGACAGGTTACCTTAGCAACAGATTGGAGCAGGGGCAGGTTCTTGATAAGGGTGGGGGAAGGGATCTGAAGGAATTAAGATTTAATCTCTCAGGGGACAGTCTTCAACTTGTCTACTCATTCAGAATTGGCCTCCTTGATCCAACCTGACTCGATTTACCTATCTATACTGACTACCTGTCTAATTCTGGCTTCACTGGTATCCTCCATTGTCATTTAACATTTTATGATGTTTAAAGTGAGAATGATATTAAGTCCTTTCTGGAAAAAAGGTAAGGGAGATACAGATAATATTCACACAGATAGAGACACATATGTTTATCTATATACACATATATGTGTGATACACATATCAACATATAATACAAATGTACTGTATAAATGTACACATGTATACTTGTGTATGTATATATTTTATTTTATATATATATGCATATATTGTGTGTATATGTATGTATGTATGTATGTATGTATATATATGAATTTAACATTCTATGACCTCATGGAATTTCATGAGAAAAATCAAGAGAAAAAATATTGAAGAAGGTAGAGAAAAAATAAAATAAATTGTGTCTCTGAGCTTTTCAGCAATTTGGACTTACAGACTAATCTATGTTCAATGAATTACAACCTCATAGAATTAGTCACTTGTGAAATTTTTGTTAAATGATTCATTGAAATTTCAGTTAAATTTTAACCATCTAGCATCATTTTTACTTCATCTACCAAAGGTACACCTTCATTTTTTTCAGGAGAAAATGTAGTTTAATTTAAAATTAATCCTTAGAAACCAAACAAACAGACAAATACAAAAGAAACAAAAAATAAAAACAAAAAAGCAACAACTTCAGAAGTTCTGAGCTTAGAGTAAAGGAGCATGGAGTCAAGAAAGCCCTGGAGTTCCATGTCTATAAATACTTTGAATTCTGTACTTCTATATTTCTTAGTAGATTAAGAATTTTTAAGTATTAAGAATTAAGGTATGAACCCTGGTATCATGAAAAAAAAAAAAAAAAAAAATAAGAAATGCACAGGTGAGAAAATGTGTGCGATAGCTATCTGTTATTACTTTTATTAGAAGACATTTTGACTGGTTAGACCACACTGAGAAGTTTCCCTTCTTCCCTCAGTTTCAGCCTATGTTCACTTCCAGTTTAGAAATTAGAATCTTATATGATTACTTTAATTTTATGTGCATTTTCTTCCTGTATGCATATTTCCAATCTTATGTATGCAAATAATGTCGCCTGGACTAAGAACAATTAATCACCTCATAAATTCTGTTAAATAATTGAATGTGAATTAGAGCTACCCTTGAATCATTATTAGAGTCTCTAAAATCATATTTATTTTACAAAAGATTGCATTTTCTCTGTTTAACTTTATTAAGTCAAAACAAATCAAGTATACTATCTTGTTAAGTTCCCTAGCTTTCAGAGGTCTTCGAATATTTTACCATTCACAGAAATGTTCTTGTGGCATATAATACAGCTAGTATGCATGAGCTAATCCAATATCTGAGCTATTACTGACATATCATAATATGATGGTATTTGAGTCCAATGGTATATGCTTGTAATAACAATAACATGGGAATCTGAGGCAAGAGAATCACAAATTTAAGGTCGCCTTGGCAATTTGGGAGACACTGTCTCAAAATACAAAATAAAAAGGATTTGGGTTGTATTTCAATGGTAAAGAACTCCTGGTAAAATTCCAAGTACTACAAAAAAGCAAATCAAATGAAACAAATACAAAAACAATATGATGACATGTGCAATTCTAATATTTTTTTTTATACTTTCTGTTACCTACTTTCTTTCAAGGTCTCTTTGCTGGGGACCAAAGAGATTCTAGAAAAGGTAAATAATTAAAATCCTGTGAATTTATGGCAATAATAGTTTTAAAAGCAAATTTTTTATTTTTTAGTTCATTTTTATTGACCTGATGTAAGCTCTCGAGATGGCTATATTGGGATATATTGTTCCTTTTCTGAGATATATGTATGTATATACATACATATATCAGACCACACCTAGACGTATATATGGCAGTTAAAAGGCACACATCCTTTATCAAGTATTGTTATATTTGATAAGTCATACTTTTTAAAGTGTTTTATAAATACTAATTCACTTAATCTTTATCATTAATCCTATATAGTAATTACTACAATTGTTTTCATCTTTATAGAAGACAAAGCTGAGGAATTAATCCATTTAATTCCCAATGGATTAAAAATTGGGAAACAGGAGGAACCAGTTATCAAATTTCAATGGCCACAATCTATGCTCTATTATATCTATAAAGTGGAGGACAACAATATGGAAGACTGATGCACAACTTTGAAAACTAACATTTTCTTATACCTGTAGAAAAAAAAATGGAGAACTTTGCATAAGTAACACTAAATATTTGTGGTAGATGACAATTCCATGTAGAAAAGGCAGTATAAGATTCAAATACAAGTTTTGAAGTTCTCATACTCCTCTATGCTCTTATTGATTTAAAATAATATCTTTATTGTCACAGATAAGGCATTGCATTATTTGTCCCATTCACTATCTCATCTTTTTTATCACTTGCTTCTTGCTCAGTGTGCTATGTATACTCTCTGCTTATTTTTGCTCAAAAGCATTAATATTATTTGTATGGAAAGGTCTTAAAATTCCAAGCATGATTTGCTACTTTCATCCTTCTTTCAGAAGAGCTCTGTTCTCTATCTATATCAATAGTTTTTACTTTGAAACAAACAACCCAAACCCAGAGGCTAACAATAATCATTGTGGGTTGGTGGAAGTCAATGATTTTCCTGGGTCCCTGCATGGCTCATATCTACTTATTCGCCAGCAGGCCTATTCTAACCTGGGTTTTTCCCGAGGAACTTAACAGGGGCAGTTCTGTTCCAGCAGTTTAACTCAGTTATATCCTTCCCATGAAATGTCAGAAAAATCAGAGAGAAAGCCCAGTTTCAAGTAACTTTCAAGGACACAATCAAAATCAAAGGAAAAATAAATATGCTTTATCTCTTTATGGGAAGATATGCAAGTCATGTGGCCAAGGATGTGGAAGAAGACAGAAATGAAATGAAGTGTAGGGATATAAGTTATTATTATAAACTGACAATTTTTCTATTTTCTTTTCTTAGTTTTCTTTTTACAAATGTTTTCATTAGTGCATTATATGTAATAGTGAGCTTCACTTTTACACAATTGTATATGCAAGAAATAAATGTGCTTATATTCAGTCAAAAGCATTTCCTATTTCCCTTTCCACCTCCTCCCCCACATTCTCCTTCCTCTACTTTAATGATTTTTTCTTATATTTATTTATAGTTTTGTTTAATTAGTGATTTATAGATATCCACAACAAGAAAAATTCACTGTGGCATATTCATATATAAGCATCACATAATTTGGTCAATTTCATTTGGTAGTTCCTCCCTTTTCACATCACTCCTCCATTCCCCTTTATCTTCTTCCACAATTCCACAATTGCATTAATATCCCTTTAGACTTCACAGGATCCTCCCCTGTTTTATAGCTTCTGCATATGAGAGAAAATATTCAACACTTGATTTTCTGAGTCTGACTTATTTCATTTTGCATGATTGTCTCCTGCTTCATCAATTTACCAGCAAATGCCATATTTTTTTTTTCTTCAGCCACTGTAACTATTTGAATTTGTAAGCATATGTGTGTTTGTATATGACCAAATTTGTTCTCTCTGAGAATAGGGATTTCTTTAATTACCATCAGTGCAGAGTTTCTGGTAAATGTTCCAAGTTCAAGCTCAGCACTGTAGCACACACCTGTAATCCCAGTAACTCAGGAAACTGAGGCAGGAGGATCGCCAAGTGTGAGGCCATCCTCATCAACTTTGTGAGGTCCTAAGGAACTTAGTGAGAACCTGTCTCAAAATTTTTAAAATTTTGAAAAGAATTGGAGATGTAGCTCCATGATAAAACACCCCAAAAGTTAAATCCCTGGTATATGTATATATATATATATATATATATATATATATATATATATATATATATATATTCACACACACACTCAACAAACTAATATTGGTTGGTGTATGAAATGCTTGATTTAATTCTAGTAAGTAATCAGATGAGAGCATTCATAATACAAATTAAAATAAATGTATTCAATTATTCTCTCTTAACTTATACCATAATAAACTAGATTTAGAAAACAAGCTTAAAGGTCAGTTAGGAGAAAGGATAATTTTTAAATTAACCTCTGCAATACTCAAGGTGAAGCACAGTGTCACGAAGAGTAGAAGTATGGGTAATAGTTAAAGATAAATAGATGAGCAAAATAATAATGGAACAAATCAAGGTGGTACAAATGCTATAGGTATGCTGACAATGAAACTTCCAATTTTTAATATTTCTCATTTGGATGTTGTTGTATGGTGTAGAAATGTATTGTCATTTTTAATTTTGAAAAGTCAAGTGCTTTGGCCAAGATCACATGACTAGGAAGAGATGGAGGCAGGATTTGAATATGTATTTTTCAAATCTGAAGCCATTTTCTTTAAAGAACACAGTTTTGGTATTTGAGAATTGCAGACATATGATGGGATACATTTATATATGTTTAAGACTCAAAAATAAAAAAAAAACACAGTGAATACTAGTGCACTGATCTGCTTGGGTTGCCATAACAAAATGACAGATGGGTGAATTAAACAGCACAAATTTATTTTATTACTGCTCTTAACATTAGAAGCCCCAGATAAAGATAGCCATATATTTGGTTTCTGGAGAGGATTCTCCTTGGGTTATTGGTAGTACTATTTTTTCTGTCCTCACATGGTTATTAAATGTGGTGTAGTAGAGAAAAATCTCATGCTTTCCTTAGAAGAACATGTGTCCTCAAAGAACTGGGGATAAACCTTATGAACTCATTTAACCTTAATTATCCTCCATAATACCTCTATAGCCAATAAAAGTATGTAGTCATATTTGGGGTGAGAACTTCAATCAACATAGGAAATTTTCAGGGGGATACAGTTCAGGCCTAAGAAGTGCAAACATAATTGATGGATCAAATCACAATATTTCAAAGATTTAAGTTGAAATTTTGGAAACATGCTTTAGTCCAGTGAAACATTTAGTGCATATTCATTCAGAATATTTCACTTTTTGCATACAGATCAAATGACCTTGCAAAATTATGTTTTAAACCTGAATTTGTAAATGAAATTTATAAAGTATTTTTTTCCTATATTTTATTCATTGGAAATGAATGACAGATACTTAAAATAGGCTGAGAGATTTTAGAATTCACTGAAAAGACTTGCTTTTTTTTATGTTACAGGCCCAACAGCTTACTGATCTGGAACAAAAATTAGCTGTAGCCAAAAATGAACTAGAGAAAGCAGCTCTTGACAGGGTAAGTTTACATCTATGAGCCATCACACTTTGCTTTTTGAAAAAAAAATACTATAGTATGCTCATTGCCTTCTTTGATTTATTAATGCTGTTCCAGATGCTCTGCATATAAGACAGTTATAGAATTCATGAATATGTGATAGTCTCTATGGTCTCCATTTTTTTCCTTCTACAATATATTTACTGAAGTTTCAGGCTCTGTGAGTTCATGGCTTCGATTTTTAACTTATTGCTACATTTGTTATGTAACTCCATGAATAAACATATAGCACCAACTAAGATATTATGCATTAACATAACTCTGGATGAATGAGTTGTGAAGTAAATAGAAATAGTCATTGACATTCAATTGTTATAACTAGTTTTTAAAAAGGTCTTAGAATTTATTTACTGGGGAATATGCACAAGCACATTAAATGCATCAATGTTCATATTAAAAAGTGGGAGTAATTTAATTACTTATTTTTAGTAGAATTAATGTACAAAGTTCATATATTTTCTATAACGATATTTTGAAGGCAAAATATAAACTTAATGAATAAACCAACAATATATTTGTATCAACATTGATTCACATACAACATATAATGTTGAGTGAAAATTTTCAACATTATATGTACAGTATTTAACAATCATTCAAATACATGAACTATATGTTATCTATTGTGTATCATAAAATCAGTTTAAAGGACAAGATATACATCAAATTCATAGAAGTAATCGCCTTTGGGAAAAGACTCAGTAAAATTTACTAGGGATGCTTGCAAGAAGCACTTTCCAATCTCAAATGTTTTGATTTTGAATAAATGAATGGATAAAGAAAAATAATATTTAATACATACAGATGCATACATGTATGTTTTATATATTACATACATGTGTTATATATGGAGGGGGATGTACATTTGAGGTATGCAACATATGTGTATATTACATTATATTATATGTTACAATTTTTGTGTCATAAAATTATGTAAAATATTGTATGTAGCGCATATAAATTATATAATTAATGCAATATTATTAAACATTTAATTAGGAATTCTATTCCCTTGATATTTGTTAATTTGTTCTGTAGAGTCAGCAAAATAATTTTTTTAATTTTAAGGAAATATGTTCTGTTTTCAAGAGGGTTCTATTTTGTGATTAATTAGTAGTCATTTTATTGAGAAAATTAAGCAAGCAAAATTAATGCACTTATAAAAAATATATACAATATATTTATTTATACACAGTGTATTACTATAATTTTCCAAAGAAAGGAATGTGCCTCCTAATAACAAACTGGCTAGAAAATAGAAAGAAAATGGAATATTTAAATCTGGTTTTACCTTGAGCTTTGTTGATGTCTTTCATCAGCCACATGTTACTATGCCATGGTTTTGAAGGACCAGGCTAAGATTCCACTTCTCAGGGACTTTATTCATTTCCTCAGTATGGTATGACCAAACAAAGTTGGCTATCACAGCTAAGATAGCCAAATTGTCAAACAGGATATCTAGGCAGTGTCCTTTAGAGGGGCTACTAAGAGCATTTGTGAGTGCTGATGATATTCCTTTATAAGGCTTAGAACTCTGGGATCAATTAACATTTGAATGAGTAATTTGTTATCTTAACAACCTAACTTTTTTATTACTGCTGTATTTTAAATTAATTTATCTAAATAATTAATAATTTTAGGGGAGTCTGCTATTCTGTGGAGAAGATAAAATATAATTTATGAAAACTCTAGTTTTGTAAAGTTTGTGTTAGTTCATAGAAAAGAAGTGTATACTCATATAGACTAATCTCTGACCATATCCAACTCATGCTACATAACATTACTTTGTAAAAAGGCATTTGAAACTATAGAATCAGTGAAATCAGAAATTCAGAGGCGTCATGTAAACTTAAAGTTCAAGTAGACCAACTTAAAACAAAAATTAAAAAAAAACCTTTGTCATTTCTACCACCGTCTTTATAATACGTTTTAGTCCTAAAAAACATTGAATTCTTATGATCTTGACATTCTGTTAGTTTTTATCATATCTCGATATTGGATCAAACTGATATTACATTTTTTTCTGATTTGATTTCACAGAAGCTTTTCAGTTAGTCATAAATTAATAGCATTAAAATGTTTTTTCTTGTGCTAGGTATTATGGGAAATAGAAAATATTTGATATCTGATTTTGACTCCCACATTTCTCATAATTTCCTGATCATGAACAATTAGTAAATAATTATATACTGAGTCATAAGACAATAGAATCACAGAAAATGTAAGTATACTTGGGTCACTTACAATGATATAGTCACAAAACCCTTTACTGGTACATTATAATTGGGCCTGTGTCATTAAACCCAGGGTTAAGGTAGAGTTGCTTCTTCATCTTTAGGTATGTTTTTTTCCTTCTTCCCAATTTCATTCTCTTACATATGCGTTTATGTACCCAGCCCATACCATGCCACAGTCTGGATTTAAGATGGGAGTTTGCATGTTGTATTGCTTAAATAATGATTCCCAGAATCTTTCTCCCTATCTTCAAACTAAAACTTTTTTTTTTTTTTTTTTTTTTTTTTTTTGCTGAATTACCATGTTAAAATCCTTCAAACTCTTTAAATTTCTCTGGGATCAATAATACAAAGTACTTTATAAAGGTGATGGGAGATTTTTATGTATTAGAAAAGTAAAGTGCTTTGAACAATACCTATCACATGCAAAACAGTCATTATTATTATTAATGAATGAGCTCACAGAGCTTGTCTCTCTGTTAAAACAATTTCCCCCTTAACCATTAGGATTGAGTCACTCCTTTTATAGTGAACCATAAAAGTGTTTCATATTAGATGTTGAGTTCAACAAACCTCATGTAAGGTATGTATGAGGCACATAAACAGCAGTCATAAAGTCAAATAGAAATGTTGCTTATTTCAAAATGGATAAAAACCAGTTTAATGAAATTGCTCTTCACCTCTCTCCATCATCTTTATATGAGACTTTTTATATTATTCAGGTGCCTATCTCCTAAGAATGGTATATCTTGGCTTTAATTAAATACCTCAAAAATATTATGAAAACATTTTCAAACTCCAACTTGGTCCTCCTGACATATATAGTAAAAAAAAAAAAAAGTCTCAGTTTACTATTCTAATATAAGCAGCAATAACCTCAAAATCTAAAAATCAACCTTGAGGTTCCAAACAATCAATTATTTATTTGGCAATATCTTATGAACTATGGTAATCTTTCACAACTGGAATATAAAAATGGCCATAAGGAATACAAATCCCTCAACCTTTCATACCAAAAAAAGTTTGGATAGCATCCGAGTCTCAGAAAATTTTACCTAGGAAATCATACATTAATACAGATAAGATTTACCTATATTCTCAGGACAAAGTTGTCAAAAGGAGAAATCTTTTTGCAAAAGCATAGTATTTGGCTTATAGCCAAATTATAAGAAATTGTTATTATTTGAATACATAAATGAAGACATGACTTGCCAAATAAATAAACATATTTTCATAGTATTGTCCAAGGGACTTGGGGACTACTAGAGCACAGATCCAAATATTTTGAGTACTTCTGGGATTGTAGAGTTGATTTGTGTCAGAAATAAAGTTGAGTATACATAAGTTTCAACTCTTCATGGTCTTTCTGAAGCCAGCAGCTGATATTACACCCTGATCTTTCTGAGATTGTGTTTTTATGTACAAGAGTTAAGATGAGCATGAATAGTTATAAATTGTCATTACTCTGAGATTAGATATTAGGAGAACCATTATATTTCTAGGATGTATTTCATTGTCCCCAAACAAAATGCATTTTTAGGAGAAAAGCACTAATATATATTCACATGAAATATTACTTTTTAACTTTCTCACCATCATAAGATCACATATAACAGTTATTTCTTATGAACTTTCCATAGGATATAGTACACATATAAGTATTTTTAATATCTGTGATAATAATATAATTGTATTACCAAATGTGCTGGAAAAATAGAAATATTTCATTATTTCCTCATGTTAATAGGGCATTAGCCTCTACATTCTGAAGGATTTTCTTTACTTTTTTTAATTACAAATATTTTTTCAGTTGAAAACTGATGCTGCAGAAAAGCTTCCAACCCTCAAAGATATTTCAAAACTTGATGAACTCATAAACACATATGCAGGAAAATAAATTGAAATGATGTAAAGGCTAAGTAAGACATAATATTAGGAAAGGTAATAGTGGCTTTAAGGAAGGCACATTCTTAGAAAGGGTACTCAAGATCTGTTTCCTAAAAGATAAACTGTGAGTTAAGTATGTGAGCATTTTCAGTTAAATGTTCCAAAGTGGACCTTTGGGTAAGGCATCTGCAGCTGGGGATATTTGAGGGGCTATAAACAAAGGATACCAAGACAAACAGAGGGGTATAGTTAAGAAATTTGTATCATAATAGCATATAGAAAAGTGGTTTGATGCAGTGAGTGCAAAGACAGCACAAACAATATTGACTTTGGAAGAGAATAGGTTTTAGGATCTAGAGTAAATTACACTATATATGATGTACATCACAGTGCATTAAGGGACATCCTGTCCTAGCGAAATTTCAAAGTGAGCAGTAGCCTACAGCTTTAAGACAGACTTCAGTTAGCAGTATAAATGAAAATGCAATGACTTTTATATGTATTGTAAAATTGTTGGGTCTTGTTCGTTGAACCTCATGGAGCCAAATATGAGTAATATCAACAACATGTCCTGTTAAACATTAAGAGGCACTGATTAGGGGTCATATAGAAAGTGGTCAAATCAGGGCAGCTTGCTCGCAGAAATCCATAATCTTTGGCAAAAAATCCTGCAACACATTCAAGAAATTGTACCAAATTCCAGATGAAAGGTCTGATGCAGGCTTGTGACCCAAGGAAAGAAAACTAGAAGGTAAAACATTAAGAATAGGTTAAAATATGAAGGAAAGCTAGCTTCCCAGAATGATAGAAAAAGGAAGAGGTGGAGAGCACATTTGATAATGTTTACATTGCTAACCTGGGGTTATTCTGGCAAGGTCAAGAGACCTGTGGAAACAGATGAGTGCATCAATATTTAGGCACCCAAATTTAATGTATATGTGCATCCCTTTCAATGTTCCTTTAAAATTTTTGTTTTGCTCAAACAATATTTACTAAAGATCAATGTTTGAATCAGTTGATACTATTCATTAATTTTAGCAACTGAGTTCCATTATTGCTTACCTTTAGAGAGTTGTATGTCAACATATACTTTAAAACTTCCATAGACCAAAGTTTTAAATAAATAGTGCTATGAGAAAACAAAATCTGAGTACAGTGAGCACAACAAACATCATTGCTTCCTGCATAGTTAAGCATTCAAATTCAATATTTCAAAGCCATAAAATCTTTGGTTCTTGGTCAAGATATGTCTGATTCAGTCATTTTTTTTTTTCTTTTTCCCTGTCTCTTGTTAGCATGCAAAGGAGAAAATATATTTAAATTGCTCACAGCCATGTACATTATTTAGCTCCTGACATGGCATTCAAAGCCATCATCTCCTAGTATGTCCCCAGAGAAGAAAAGGGTCAGTTGGGATTGCAGCAAAAAACAAGTAGATCAGAAAATCTGATTATGACTTCTTTTCCACTTGTTTTTTTTAAATAACTTGTAAATTTTCTTCACTGATGTACAGAAACACTACTTTCAAGTAACTTTTAAGTTTTTTTATTTAAGATGTTTTTGAGACCCTGTAGTATCAGGGATTATGCTGAGTTCTGTCAAACATATACAAGAGTGCATATACTTAAAAATCACAATTATTGAAAAATTTTATGAAGAAAGCAAACAAAATCAGTTGTGGAAAATGATGGGGTGGAGAGAGGCACGAATCTGGGTATTAGAGTAAATATAAAAAGGGATCAATTTGAATAAAACAGTTGAATTCATCATTGCCATCATTCAGCTCAGTCCCTCCCTCCATGCCCAGTTCATACTCCTCCATCCTAGTCCTTAATAAGTTCAAATCTGAAGAATGAAATTCACAGGACAATGGAAACAAGAGTGAAAGGAACAGAATTTATCCGAGTGTAAAAAATACAAACAGAACTCTCCCAGAGGCAAGAGGGTCCCCCAATAGAGGTTGCCCCTTAATAAGTTTTTATTTCATCTGAGACAACTTGACAGAGCACAAGTAATGAAAAGGAAATGCATGCATGTTCTATTTCTACTACATGGCCAGTTGCTTATATTACTGCCACTGCTGTCATGTTGTTTTTAATTTCTTGTCATGGCCTAAAGAGAGTGATTTTTGAATTGCTATTCTATCAGTAAGAACTCTCATCTTAAAATAAATATTAACAAAAAGCAAAATGGCAAGCTTCAGAAAGGATCTACGTCAACTGTCCAGAAGTTGACCAACAGGGCTTTATAGAAAGAAATAGGAAATAGGAGAGGATGCTAGATAAATATATATACCTGGCATGGTATATAACATAAAAGAATGCGCTGAGAGCTTGTCATATCCGGGAACACAGACCTTGTTTCTGCAATGATCTATGTGTGTGCTAAAAGGGTAACTCCACATGCATCAGCTCATCCTTGGGTTTTGGTTCCAGTGACTAATCTCTCTCCTCTCTCTCATAGTCCAAAGGCACCCTCCAGTGCTTCTAAATGGATATACATATGACACCAATTTATCTGGTCATGCCCCAAATTACTCCTTAGTTACTATAAGAATATCCCATTCATTTTTTTCCAAAATATTTATATATCTTCAGTTTAGTAACTGGGGATCTTTCTATTATTTGTGTTCAGATTTTTATTAATCCTGACATTTTAAAACTATTTTTAATAATTGATGGTTTGGATAGATAGGAGTTACAGATGGTCATCTATCTTAATCAGTCTCCCTTCTTTTCAAACCAGAAATCTTCCTGTGTGAAAGCATTGAATCTTCTTTTCTTCCATGTAAAATAGTAATAATAGTGTCATTTATATAGACTCTTCAAAGCATAAAACTATTTCTTGTATATGAAAGGATGTGGAATATTTTGATATGTTTATATAAGACACAGGTAATATTAGCCCATCAGATTAATTTGTATTGCCAAAAAAGTCCAGAAGAAATGAGAGTGCTATCAGAGACATTTTTTTCCACTTATATGGGGAAATAGAACACATTTCAGGTAATCTGAGAAACACGGTGTCCTGAATTGTTAGGGAAGCAATTCTTAATAAAGAGGATTGATGCCAATAGAAAGATGGCATGTATCTAAAAAGGGCATCTAATTTCAGAATGACTTGAGTATATTTCCTTCTTAGGGATCTATCATGATTGAAATCATGACAATTCAAGAGGAAGAATAGAATGCAATCTGAATTTTGGTGTTGAAAATATGTCACTAAACACATTATCTCCTAGAAATAGACTGAACATGAATGAAAGAGAATGTCATAATGGAACCTATAAATTGGGATAATGAACCTATAAGTTGGGATATATGTTTGTGTGGGAAGTAAATGTAGGCTAGAAGAATGGAAGTGGAAAATTTTGACCAAAGCCATATGTAAAAATGCTAATGCCCCTCTCTCTTCTGTTTTTAGGAGTCACAGATGAAAGCAATGAAAGAGACTGTGCAACTCTGTTTGACATCAGTTTTCCGTGATCAACCTCCACCTTTGAGTCTAATCACAACAAATCCAGCTCAGATGTTATTTCCAACTAGGACAATTGCTGCTAAGATTCCAGATGAAAAGACAAAAAGCAAGGTACATTTTATCAGAGCTTTGAAAAGTAATGTCAAGTACTGGACTGTCTTTATACTACACTCTATATGATCAACAGAGTGAGCCCAAGTAAGATATTCAATTTATTTAAAGTTTAGGAAGTATATGGAAGATCGTAACCAGTTTGTAAACTCTCTGTAGTCACAAGGAGAGGGCTGGAAGACAGATTTCCTTTAGAGAGCCTATATGTTGGGCAGGACCAAATAATTGTTAAAATTAAAACAATGAAAGCAACAAAAATAATTTTAAATAAGTTAAAAGAAATATCTTGTATTGTATTACAATAAACAACACATATTTGATGCTGTCTTTGGGGGTATACATATCACCCTGACAAAAATATTCTATTATAGGGTAAGTCCACAGCTATCAACAGTGACTGCACTTGAGAATTTTTTAAAATCCTGATACATAGGGTCTGACCCCAGTCCTATTTTTTTCAGATAGTTTTGAACAGAACACTAGCCATCAGTAATTCTTAACAGTTTCAGGGAATTTTAATGTTCAATCAAGTTTGGGAACAATGGACTTAAGTAATCCTTTCTCTAAACTCCCCCATTGCACTACAGTAGACAGAAAGAGAACATTTTACTGCTGCCCATTTTCATCTTGAGATACCTAGCCTTCTGGGTTTTACATGTGAATAAATCCAGACAGCCTGGAATTCCTGCTGGACGAGGAGTTTTGTTTCAAGCAATATCTTTGAAAGAGTTGTCTTCCTGATCACGTATCACTTGTTATTAAAGGAGTGCCATTGTTATCAGTCTGACTTCTAATGCAATCCCTGAACCACTCAAGGACCACTGATGCCAATACTGAGTAACATGTTACACAGGGTGTTTTCTTAATTCTCATTTCTGAGATTGCCTGTGTTTGCATTGAAGGAGATAAATGAAATTTATAGTGTAGGAATAGAGAGATAGAAATAAGTAATGCTTATTTGCTTTATTAGAAGACTTATTTGTCTTCTAATATTGTGTTTTTATGTATTACTAGTCAATGTATACCTATACAAATTTACTCTATCTAATCTTATCATGAGGTATTAATATATTATTCTGTAAAATCTTTTAAAAAATAAGTATTTCTATTCCATTCTGTTATCATCTTTCATCTCATTTTATACTGAAGGAACTCTAAAATTTTTTAAGTCAATAGGTTTCTACTTATTTTTTCTGGGCCTTTCTCTAAAAACTCTAGCTTCAAAGAATTTGCTTACTTAACTCAGATAAGAAAACTAGATAATGCTATATTGCATTATGTTTTTCATGAAAAATCCTGGGTAAATCCCTTGCAATTGATCAAATGCATAGTTACCACACAATATCATCCACCCAACAGGAAGCCACACCCTGACTCCTCCTCCTGTTTCAGTCTAAGGCAGGAGGTAAATTTGAGGCTCCTCACACCTAATGACTTGGAAAAATAGCTTTGTAATTCTGAGGGTATATTAATTTGTTTCCATTTAAAATATATTTTCTTAAGCCCAGAATTAAAACTGGGCTACTTATGACCCTCAGTGTCTGAAGAATATTACTGATTGTGCCTTTAACCGATTTTCTAGGAATAAATGTTTTTTTCCATCATTGAAGTAAATAAATATGTATTGTTTCTTTTGGCTTACCATGAAAAACAAAAGTAAGGATTTAAATGAGCCTGGTTTGGAGATTGCTCATTTCTCAAAAAAAACAGTAACAGGAAAAATCCAATTATTTAAGATGAAATTCAATAAATCCAAGTTAATGTACTAGAGAATATCTTATATTATAACATTGCATTAAAAGCTTGTCTGGGGTTTATGTTTTCCCATATTCTTTATCTTTTTAGTAGTGACAGAAATTATATTTTATGTATGTATGGGCCTTAATCTGTATACAAGCACTTCACAGGTGATATATTTTAAAATCTTTAATAATAAAATGTGTTGTGGATGTGTATTAAAAAATAGCTCTTCAGTCATGAAATGATTTTTTTTATCTCTACATACAAAAACTAACTTCTACCTAGGTAAGGCCTCCACTACGGGGTTGCATTTCCACCCTAAAGTCAGGGAAACCTTCAGAGAAGACTAATTTTATTTGTCCCTTTAAGTTGTTTGATAGCCACAACACATCATTACCCTGTGTTTCTGTTTAATCAAGTTTATTGGCTTCTTTTCGAACATTGTGTTTTCTATAGTTGTTATGTCTGCTTCTCTAATTTGAATGAATTTTTTCTTCTCTTCTAACTTAGCCTTATTTTTCTCCTCTGATGGCAGGGTTTACTACCCTTTGTTTGGTCATACCTTGAATGCAGGGATTTCTGCATATACTTTTCCCTTTAAGGAAGATGATTGTGCTTTGTTTATCTATCTGCTTGACATTTTTCAGTGTCCAAAGTCTTTAGAGAATCCATTTGAAATGGCATTTATTGTATGTCCCTCTCCTTACTAGACATTTTCTTTATTTGAATCTTAGAAGAATATAATTTACTGAGTGCTTATTAATCGCTTTGTGTTCAACTATATTGTTTTCTATATATATACCAAGACTATGTTAATAACTGGGGAAGCAAATTTGAAATGACATGGTTCTGATCTTTTGGTGATTGCAGTCTAATTCTTTATAGAGAAATCAAGAAAAATACAGTCCTGTTCTTAATAAGAGACCAGTCAATTTTTTTCATTTTTATTTGTTGTTGGTATTTAGAATTCTATATTCCAAATAGTTTTGATTAAAGATAAATACTAGGTTCCTAATGCACATGAGAGGATGTATTTGTAATTTCTTTGTTAAGATACAGTGTATGTTATGTGGATAATGTTTCTAAAAACTGGTAGATGGAAAGGATTAAATTATGAAATCTGATTTTCATTCTGCATAAAAGGGTCCTAACTAGAGTAGAAACAAACAAATCAGTGACAATTGGTTTCATTAATCCATGCAGCACATGGTTGTGACATGGCTATAAGACAAAAATTAACAATGGGATTCCAGACGTTATTAAGGCATAAAACTGACATGACCTAATGATTAAGAGGGGTATATGGGAGGGATTCAAGATGGTGGGCCAGAAGGAGGCAGCATTCTGTGTAGCTCTGGGACCTGGGTCTCAACTAGTAGGAACACTGCTTGTCTGAGAGTCATAGAGGACCCCTACATAGCTGCTCTCTCACAGAAATCATGGCCTCAGCATTAGAGCAGGACTCCCCAGGCCTGACACCCAGCTCCCAAAGTCCTAGCCCACACAGGGTTCAAGTGCCTTAGCAGGATCACCACATCAGCACCACTGCAGAACTCCCAGACCCTACTCTGTTCCCATGTAGGACACTCATCTGCTACCCACCCACAGGAACTCCAGCTGCCACTCCTGTGTGGAATCCCATCTACCAACATAGGGCTCCCCCAAGTCAACTGTGTTTTACAAACTTGCAGCTACTGTCATAATCCTCCATGCACAGAAGTCTGCCTGCACCTGGGGACATCTCAAAAGCTCTGAAGACAGCCCAAAGCCACAATACTGCATGCCACAGAGCTCATCTTTGAACACAATGCACAACACCACTGCCCGGCTCTCCCTACCTGACACTCCAGTGCTGGAAGTGGCCCATCTCCATCTTGGGTCGCCTTCCTCACCATCTTTGGTGGGGCAGCTCCCAGATTGGAACTCCAGCTGTCCAGGTACCTGGTTTCCAACTTGCCTCTCTTCCCAGTGGCTGGTAACCTGGCACAGTAACTGCCCAACACAAAACAGCTCTCAGTGGGACAGGTGTGCAGTGCAACCAAGGTACTGCCCATGGAAGCTCAGGTGAGATAGGTCACTTAATTGGGAACTGTTAAGAGAGAGGGAGACTTTCAAAAGTGTGGAAACTAACAGAGAGACCAGAAATTGGGAAATCTTTAGGCAAGATGGGGAAATAGGACTGGGCACTCAAGTCATAAGAGTGGACCCCAGAAGAGACCCTTAAGGTGCAGTCTCCCTGCAGGGATTGGCAGGTGCCACACCTCACTTCCAAGTGTCCTGCACCAGGAAAGGCTTTCCTACCATGGTTACCTCCACCATCCTAAGGGCTGAGATACCAGCTAACAAGAGATGACCCCACCTACTGGGTAAGAAGGGAAGCAGGAAAGATAATGATATCCAACCAAAACAATTAACAATCCTGGTTTCTTCCTTTGAGATTTTTTTTTTCTTTTTCTTCTCCTCCTCTATCCTCCTGACCTCACATCCCCAACATATGTGAAACCAAGTACTTTGCATAAATTAGGATTTTTGAGGACTGGGACACCTGAATAATATATAATAATTGTGTTGTATATGCCCTTTCTTTTTATTTTTACTCAAATTTTTACTATTTTAACATCCTTTATTTTTTGGAATACATATGTGTGTTTGTTTTATGTATCTACTGTCTTCCCATGTAGTTGTCTACCCCAAATTACTTCCTGTCCCTGCCACTAACTCTCTCCATGAGATTTCTCTTTCACACTTCCTAAGATATACAAACTCTGTATCCTCACATCCTGCCTCCACAGCATATAATCCTATGCTTCACCCCCATTTCATTGTCCACCTTCAGAAACTGTAAACCCTTTTACAAACTTGCTGGTTATATTATAGATAAAAATCAAATTTGAGTTCAACATTTCTGTACATTGTGACCAAACTGTAAACGTTTAATAGCAATGAATTGTTTATAGGTGGTATATTGTTTATATTGGGATCTGTTAATATTGTTCTTCCCCACAAAGGAGAGGTATTAGAACCCTACAGGATTTCTATAGGCCTACAAGGTAAAAACAATAACACGTCAGACCTGCCGAGCTAAAAGTGAAGACACATGAGCAACATAAAAAGACAAGGGAAGAAAGTGCCCTAACTAAATCAATATACCACATATTGGAATTCATGGCCAGCACAACAGAAGAAATGACAGAGAAGGAGTTCAGGATGTACATAATTGAAATGTTCAGTGAATTAAAGGATGATATAACACAGCAAAT